TGTGTGTGTGTGTGTGTGTGTGTGTGTGTGTGTGTGTGTGTGTGTGTTGAGGGCTGAAGGGTGTGTCGGGAGCACATTGTAGGTACCATGGAGGTGCAGGGCCCGTGTATGCTGAGAACAGAGCTCACATCTGGGGAAAGTCTAGATCAAAGGGCAAAATCTGACTGCCCTCTATGAGGACTCAGTCTTGTAAGGAGAGAAGAGGCTCTCCAGACACACCTGGGGCCAGGGTGCTTCTCTGATTTTCTGTTGTGAGGCAGGGGTCTGTGTGTGCACTGGGCCGCTGGGACTCCCCTCCCCTCCCCCCCCCTGGTTGCCACGGCAACTGAGCCTCACCATCCCTCCAAACCTGCTGGTTCCATGCCCTCGCCCCCAGGGCTGGCCCCTTCAGCCCTCCCAAAGCCCCTGCCTCCTTGGGTGGCACTGGACCAAGGGGGCCCCTACACTCACCGAGCCCCAGACAGGAGACCCGCAGTCCCGACTTGCCCAAGTTCCTGGAAAACAAACTTGGTGTGAGTTCTCAGTGACCAGCACAGGACCTGCCGGCCAGGCACGCCCCCCACCCCACTGTTCCCAAAGGCCAGCCCCAAGTTTGAACCCCCGACTCTAGTCAATGTATCTTTTGAGACTCTGAAGGCAAGGGGTCCTCTGGAGAGAGGCCTGTGGCTCACCCGCCCTTAGGCATAAAGAGCCAACTGTCCGTTCCCCCTGCCTGCCATACCCCACACCAGGGTACGGCTGCGTGGCTGGGCCATGCTGGTGAGCACGGCGGGGCCTGGAGAGCCACCTCGAAAGAGAGTAGTAGAATGGGCTGACGGAGGCCCTTGTGGTAGCGGCCATCACGGGCCTGCTGAGGCACCTGCCAGATGAAGATCCCAGGGTCCATATATGAAGGGGCCACAGGTCATCACTAATGTCCTTAGGAGGTCGTGGAGGGTGGCAGGGCCCTGCTGAGGACTGGGATGTCCATCTGTCCTGGACTGTTTGTCCTGGCACAGGCTGGCCGGGAGCCTGCAGGGGCAACCACAGGCCGGATGGTCCTCAAGCATCATGTCCTCGATCTCCCTCAGCTCTGTGGGTCAGGTGCCTTCCTTTTCCCGACATGCCCATTTTACATAAGAGTACACGGGACCCGCCTGGGAGCAGAGAAGCCAGGATTCCACCTAAGGCAGTCAGCTCCGCAAGCATGCGCCCCACCACGATGGTGTGTCCCTTTCCCCATCCACGGGGGACACAGGACGTGAGCTGCTCACATGGTGAAGTGGCCCAGGGCAGGCTGGGAGTCCACTACCCTCGGAGGAGCCCCGCTGCCGGCACCCCGGTCCTGGGCCCAGCCCGGGGTGCAACATCCGGCCAGGCAGTGGGAAGTCAGAGAGTTGTGACAGACTCAGAGGGTGAACCCCAGCCTCCTTCCCGGAAGGCTCCAGCTTTTCCCTGTGTCCTCATTTCTCTACCCAAACCTGGCTCCCTCAGACCCTCTGAAGCCTCAGTTTCCTGGTTCCCAGACCCCAGGACCCTGCCCACATCACAGGAGGTCGTGGGGGGTGGGGAGGGGATAGAACAAACTTGTAAACGGTTTGAGCCACCAAATTTAAAGTAGTTCTAGGATGCCCAGGTCTCTTTTCCAATTTTCCCATGAAAACCGGCCCGGCTGCCAGCCCACTGTTCCTGCCGGGAGTGCTGGGCTTTTCCCTGCATAGGTTCAGAACAACAGCTGGTATCTGTCAGGGAGGGGAGCAGATCGAGCAGAGGCTCTGAAGCCTCTGAAGCCAGAGGCTCTCAAACCCTGGCCGTGTGCCCCCGGGTGCGTGATGTAACCCCCTACTGCCTCAGGGTGCCCCTCTGCAGAATGGGCTCACAGAGCTGGCCGCGAGGATGAAACCAGATAACACGTGCCTGGGGCATCACAGAACACTGACTGACCCTGCCTTTTCCCTCATGAGCCACGGACAAACCAAAGAGCGTTGAGAGTTACTGCGTTAAAAAACTGAAGTCTCCCCTGTTCTTCTCCCCTACAAATCAGTGAAGTAATCTGATGATGCCCTCAGCACGGCTCGTGTGTTCCGACCCGGAGCAACTTTTTGTGGTTGTCAGAAAGGAAGGTGATATGTTATCACGTTGTAAATGCACATAATGCTATCACATCTCCATAAGCCTCTGGGAAAATACTTAGAATATTCCTGTTTAGCTTTAGATTTGCTACGAGAGAGTTAAAATATAATACGTACAAAATTTAAGGGCTGAGTAGTCAAAGACATGACTTAAAGGTTTTCTTATGTCCTTCAAATCATGTTTGAATTGATGTTGCTTCTAAGCAGAAAGTTATTTTTTGTTTTGTTGTCTATACATAAACTGGAATTAAACAGTCGTTTTTTTTAAAAAAAGAAGAAAGGCACACCTGCATCATCTGTAGACCATGCATCGGGCCAGGCCTATTTAACAGCGCAGATAATTTTCCCCACGCTAGCCATAAAGGACCTGTGGCGGGAAATCCGAGCATTGCTTACAAGCAGTCTGGGAAGGATGCAAAAGGGATTGAAGATTCTGATTAGTGGTTCTTAACTGTTTGGGGGTCACAGGCCCCTTTGAGAAACTAATAAAGGCTGTGGACCCCTTCCCTGGAAATTTGCAGGACACGAAAACCCTCAGAACCCTGTTTGCAATGCACGGGTGCTCACAGGGCCTCGGGCACCTGGTCTCGATAAATCCTGGTGCTGGAAGGGAGGCTGAGCTCCTGACTCTGCAAAACTAACTCCCACTTGTGACCACAAGGAGCAGTTTCCTGGCCAGGAAGTGGAAGGCTAAGTTTTAGGTGTGTCCTCCTGAAGTTCCCTTTTCCAGCGTGGAACCAGATGCCTGCGTGTTCAGGGGGGCGAGCGGCTTTAGCAAGAGACAGACGAGAGCCCAGAACACCTGGCTGAGCCCGCCTGGGTCTGTGGCTGTAAGGGGTGCCTGCCACCCCTTGTCCACCAGAACGGGCTGCGACCCAGGGCGTTTGGCTCTCCAGCTGCTTCTCCACCCACTGCCCACAGGAATAATTTAACAAAACTAGGACACCGCGTGATGCTGTAATTACCCCGCTTAAGTTGTCTCCCCGATAAAATGATGGTATTAGTTCTGCCATCCGCTGCCAGGCCTCGGGAGAAGGAATGAGAAGGGACAGGGTGTCTCCGGGCTAAAAGCTTCATAAATACGGCTGCTCACTGGGGGTGGGGAGCGCCACAAATCTCTGCCTCGTCTGGACCAGGGGCTGGGGACACGCTGCGCCTTGAAACTCCCAAGACTTGAACATCGTTTCCTACAGATTTTTCTCCCCTAATTAAAAGTCGACATACTGATAAAAGAGTTGGCTAAGTCCCTAAACCCAAATAATGTTAGTTTCTGTTGATTTGCCTTATGTCTCTCCTGTGGTCTGGAAAAATGCTAATGAGGACTCATGGGTTTAACCTCTGGCGGAGGAGGGAACCGATCGCTCCGGGCCCCTTGATACTGCACCTCAGACTCCGGGGATTACAGGTCCTTTAAAAAGAGCCTGAGGCCTTTCAGTTCAGCCATGCGGGTGGAGGACAACACTTTGAGCCTGTGACAGACAGCAACATGGCCTTAATGAGCTGGTGTGATGGATGTGGGAGCTGGGGTGTTTTCTGGTCAGCTGTTAAAATGGCAGGGGGGTGATGACCTGTTGACAGGTCTGCCCCGCTCCTAGACTCCAGGCTCCCTACGGACAGGCCTGGGCGTCTAGGTCTTCCTCCTCAGATTGTAGCTGACATCAGCAAGGTCTCAGGAGCGTTTGCTGGGTAAATGGGGGGTGAGAAGCCCTCGCACTGATGCCAGTCCCTTGGGGCTGAATGCCGGCCCCTCCCCTGATTCACAGGGCTTGGCATCATGCTTCTCCCACATTGAGCCCCTCTTGGGCCCTCCAGCAAGAATGTGGCACTCTGGCCACCCTCTTTTAGTTCCCTTAACACCAAAGGGTGTGGCTGGAGGCCCCCTCCTGGCCAGCTTCCTAAGGAGGTGGTCAGAGTGGGGGGTAAAGAGCAATCAAGCCCCCTAAGGCCCCCATCTGCATCCTAGCTGTGGCCCTGGGACAGTCACGATGGAGCAGCCCCGTGGGGCAGTTACCTTCCTATAAGGCAGGTAGTCTGTGCTCACCAAGGACATCCAGTGGTTGGGATTCTGGCTCCCACTTCAGCCTCTATGAAACGACACTTCCTGCAGGTGTATAAACCCTCCTTCCTCCCCCCACACTGTCGAGAAAAGCTCAGCAGGCCACATGTAAGGACAGATGGGGGTCCCCTAGTTAGGAAGTGCTGGGGCTGGGATCTGAACCCAGCTCCTCAGACAGCAAACTCCCTAGCCTAATGAGCAACTCCCCTCACCGTCTGTCTCACCCTCCCTGCCTCTTGCACAAACAGGTGCACACACGTACAGGCAAATATATACACATGCGTGCCCATGGGCAGACACACATGTGCACACACACACGCACACACAGTAATCTCGAGCACCCAGGCTCTTCGAGATTTACTCCTTAATGGATCATAGGATCTTCAGCAGGAAATCATGTTAATACCCGTATTTTCCATTTCCATAGCCCTTCATGTTTTTAGAAATGGTCTTACTTATATTAACTCCTTTAATGATCCCAGGACTGACTTAAAAGTAGCAGCAGGTAACAGGTATCTACCTCGAAATACATAGTGTGTTTACTCTTAGCTTTTAATCCCCATTTAACAAAAGATATAAGCCAGCAGGGCTTCTAGACTAGAGAAGTCCATTCTGGATTGTCCTCACTGAGCCTAGAGGGTGGGAACACAAGCTTTTCCTCCAGAGGCTCATAAAAGAATATCAAACGCCCCCAAGGACCCGGGGAAGGAGGCGATACGGGCAGAGAGGCAGAAGGACTTCGGAGTTACTCCACAATTCATCTCCAGTAGGCACGGGACTCCACACGGTTCCTTCACCCACCTCAGGCATCGGTGTGGGGGAGGTATGAGCTCTACATTTCGGTTGTCAGGAGTGATTCTCTCAATACTTTTCAAGTTGGCCGCACCACCAGCTAGAAACCCAGACACTGTGCTCAGACACAGGGAATCTGCAAAGCCCCTAGCCTAATGAGCATCTCCCCTTACTGTCTCCCCTTACCTAGAATCTTCTGGGGCTCTTTCTGAGCCTATGTGACTCTTTGGGTCCAGCTGATGCAGACTGTTTGCTGTAAGAACATCATTTCCCAGGAACATCATTCTAGAAAGGGCGAAGGGCTAAGAAAGGCCAGACGCCCAAGCCAGGTGCCCTACGACCCTGCCCCCAGAGGTCTTTTGTACAAAGCTGCGACGCTCCTCTTCCACCTGGGTGCATCCACCGAGCATCTGAGCAAGGCCCAGGCTGGGGCAAAGGATATGCAAGGAGCAGGAGGAAGGTCCCTGCCCCTGACACCCTCTCCACATACAAGCCATGGTGAGAGAGCCTGGAGCCAGGCGGTGGACTGAGCCCA